TCTATCTCATTCATGCAAAAAAGGTCACAATAGCAGTTACGTATATAATTTAGTAAAAAAAACATACAAACCAAAGTAACATGGAGTAAAACAGTTTTATAGAAAAAATAATAAACCTCTTGAGCTGTCCACCATGGATACGAAAGGAAAAATAAATGCGTTAAATATATAATTCCTAAACACGCAGAAATGCTTTTTTCTGAAAATAAATGTAGCCTAGAATACAATTTACCAAAATTAATTTCAATTTATGAATTATGACTGATTTTTTAATGTTGAAATTAATTATAAATTTCATATAGATTTAGAATACTTGAATACCTAGTGAACTTAAAGAATTCCCACAACAATTTGGTAAAAGTATTATTACTTTTTTTTGTAGTCTGATGCAATAATTTATTTTCTGCAAGAAAACAACAATATTGTTGCATTTTACATGTATAACTGACATTTATTAAAGTAATATTTATATTTATTTACCAAAAAAAGAACATATAATATACTTATTATCCTGGTATTTTTTTAAATAAATTATATCCTCTTCTGTAAAATATTCCCAAATACATAAACCTGGATGCGGTGCATCAATGTATGACTTATAAAGATTTCTTGGATAAGACCACGGACCACACAAATCATCGTAATTTACATTTGATTCAATTTGAATTTCCGAACAGATTTTCCGGAAAATTACAGTTCGAATATTTGATGTTATACGTTCTGACAAATTTGACCATTTAACATATACAGTTGCCTTTGACTGGTTTTTCTGATTATTGATTCCATTACGATTTTCTTTTATAAGTTGAGACGTCATTATTAATGATCACTTTCTATGAAGGAACGGTTATATGCTCAAAGGTACCTATAAACACTAAATTGTAAACATCTGCATTTATGGAGAAAAATGTAAGTGGTATATCAAATGTCAACTAATTAATGACGCGCGATACTCAATGCTTTTTTTTTAATAGTGATATTAATGTATTCTATACATCAAATGTTATATACATTATATAGAAATATACATATAAATATTTATAAGCCTAAGAATTACAATTTCATGTAATTTCATTTCATATTGTAAAATTAACTTATGTAAAGTCGGTGCAAACGCCACCAAATGTCAAACAATATTAGTATTGTAGAAACGGTTTCAATATTTAGTTTATTAATTTAATAATAAATAATTTTCAAAGCATAATCATAATTATGGAAATTAGTATCATTATAGAATGTTAATACATGTGCAATTATTAAGTTCACGTATATCGTAATATTCAAATTTAAAAATGAAGTAAGATGTTATCATACTTCGTTTTGTTAATAATATAAAGGTGATCGCAAAATGGACAATGTATATTGTTTAAAGCTACAATATATTGATAAAAATTTCAAAAATATATCAATATTTTTATATATTCAATATAAAATTTACAGTATTTTAATTTTACATTTAAGAAGCATAAAATAAATAAACTCCTAAAGTTGTTTAAATGCGTATTTTCAAAACGTGAAAGAAAATAATACACGCTTCAAATACTCTAAAAAGATGAACAAATTCATATATATATATAAATATTTTGTATATATATATATACGTGTAGAAATGCAATTATTTTTTCACTTCATCCTACTGAAAAACATTTTACGAGTATTTTCTTGTAAATACCGAATTTCATTTTAATTTCTCGCACATCGATTTCATAATTTGGATTTGTTGTTTATAGTTCTCATGCAATAGTATTTAATAAGATATATATAGATGAACTTTTAAAAAATTAAGTTATGCAGTGAAGTACTTGGGTTTAGTAAAATGTAACTTATATTACTAGTGATAACGAAAACCTTATCGAAATATGGGTTACATTTTCAACAAATTTCTATTAAAAATATAATTTGAAAATAAAACTCTGAGATAAAATAAGAAATACACGAAAAATAATTTGCAACATTATATAAAATTGAAAAAAGAAAACGTACTTTATCAGGATAAATATTATATTTAATAAATGAATTCGCTGATGTAAAACTACTATTTTACAAAACATTCATTTCATTTATTGCTATAATTGTAAAATTATTTGCAAAATATTAAATAATTTCGGATGAGAGTGAACGGTGAATTTGACGAAATCCTTCATAATATTCACAAGTTTATTTTTTCTTGCGTAATCCTTTATAATTTATCATGAATTATCG